CACCAACCTTGGCATGTAGGTAGAGGTGGGTTAGCCGGATATCCCTTGTGAGTTTGGTGTCTCTATCATGCTGAGGGGTGTTCTACCATGTCACAAACCTCACAAATGAAACTGGTTTATTTGTGATGTTTCATGGTTCATGAAGCTGGCATACCATGAACCATACCACATTTTCCCAGTTCATGCCCATCACTACTCAACACCAGTTCTCTAGGTGAAATCCATCTGGTTGTCCTCATGAATTACCCCTGCATTGACCCATGTGGATCTATAAGAACCAGATCATCACTGAGACAGTACCCTAAGACCACAATTGTACCTTTAAAGATTGACTACCTCTTTCAATAGTCTTTCAGTAGTCATGTATGGCTGCGAGAGTTGGACTATAAGGAAGGCCGAGCGCCGAAGAATAGATTCTTTTGAACTATGGTGCTGGAGAAGACTCTTGAGAGTCCCTTGGACTGCAAGAAGATCAAATCAGTCAATCCTAAAAGAAATCAACCCTGACTGTTCCCTGGAAGGCCAGATAATGAAACTGAAGATCAAATACTTTGGCCACCAAATGAGAAGGGAGCACTCACTGGAGAAGACCCTGACGCTGGGAAAGATTGAAGGTCAAAGAAGACAAGGACGGCAAAGGATGAGATGGTTAGACAGTGTCATAGATGCAACGAACATGAAATTGAGCAAACTTCAGAAGATGGCGGAAGACAGGAAGGCCTGGCGGGATCTGGTCCATGGGGTTGCAAAGAGTCGGACTCGACTGTGTGACTGAACAACAACAACTGATAGAAATGATACACATTCAGCGTGTTCTCTATAAAGTGGTCTTCTCCGTTTGAATGTCCCTCTATTGAATATCTCTGACCAGAGGTACTCCACAGAATAACCACCAAAACCATCTTATACCACCCTAGTTAACACAAAACCCTTTTAGACTGGAGCCTTGAGCACATCTTGACTCTTGTTTTTGATATGCCACCCTGCTACTGTGCTTCTCATAAGCAAGGGAAAACCAGGGGAACACGGTCTGAGAAAACAGTACAAATAAACAAAAAATACCATGATCAATCCATAATATTATATAATAAATACATACAAAGCATCTAGTACCAATAATGATTATACATAAGAATAACCCTATAAATACCAAAACCATAGACAAAGTTCATATAAGTCCATTGCAACGACTAGGGTACAAAATTAAGAATAAAATTATGGAGGTGCAATTAGTGAATCATTTTATAATTAATTCATGATTTCTGTCCTAGCCCCCATGTTTTCATCGTCCTCATGGAACTTCCTATATAGGCTAAATTACAAGAACAAAAAATTGCATAAATTATCCTCATGGAATTACAGTTATAAAATTCTTTTAGTTGAAATTTGTAACCATTAGGAAAAACTACCTCTGCAGTTTCCCACACTAGCCTGCAGGTGGTGCAATTACCACATTTTAATCTACTCTAGTTGTTGGAATGCACTTACATGAACTTTGTCTATGTATGGTTTGGTATTTACTATGTATTACATAATAGGAGCTGTGGTGGCTCAAGTGGTTAAGACGCTGAACTGCAGGCTGTGGAAGGTCAGTAGTTCAGCGGTTCAAGACCCGGGTGCCGCAAGACAGGGTGAGCTCCTGTCTCTAGTTCCAGCTCCTGCCAACCTAGCAGTTCGAAAGCAAGAAATTGCAAGTAGATAAAAAGGTACCACTTCGGTGGGAAGGTAACAGTGTTCCGTGCACCTTGGTGTTTAGTCATGCCGGCCACATGACCACGGAAACGTCTTCGGACAGCGCTGGCTCTTCGGCTTTGAAACGGAGATGAGCACCGCAACCCTAGAGTCGGATTCGACTGGCTTTCGAGCAAGGGAACCTTTACCTTTACATAATACATAATTACATTTATTATGTATGACATTATTATGTATTAACATTATTGGTACTTGATGATTTGTATATATAATGTGTTTATTATATAATATTATAGACTGATCAAGGTATTTTTCATTTGTTTGTACTGTGCTTCTCATGCCATCGGGGTTCACAGATGAACTACACCAACAAAACTATCTCATGCTAGCCTAGTTAATCAGTGCCTAAAATCGAAATGGACAAAGGACCACAAGAAATATCTGCAAACCTTACAGTCAGCTTTTTGCTGTTTTGGAGGAGTTCCCCTCTGTTTTTTGCAAGAGCTCTCTATTTTGTGGCTTTTTTAATTGTACAGTGCTTGGACTCTCTAATAGCATAAAGCAGAACTGGAATATATTGGATAGTATCTCTGCTTGTGAACACACACCTATCATTTGCTTTAAAAGATCTTCAAACCTCAAATGATTAACTGGTCTATAGTGATACTTCTGTATTCCTAGGGTTTATAGCCCCTCAAAGAAGACTGAAGCGTGTGGGTTGATTTACATTAACTTTATGACAATTAATGTCAAGTAGTCACATTTCTCATTTTGCATTAGTAAGAGTTCGGAATATTGTATAAGATTATTGCACACCGCTGGAGTTATACAATTGGGTTTTTTTAAAATTCACAATTTATTAATTTCTGCAGTGAGCGATATTACAGAAGATTGACCTTATTTTCCAACAGTCGTACAATTATGTATTAATAGAAAGTATTCCCAAACCGATCCCTTAACTTCTAATATATCCATTTACTAACCAAGAATTACTTCCTATTCTGAGTCCAATTATCTTGTACCACTTGCTAAGTATACTTCCATTCAGTTTCTTCACTTCTTTCCCCATGTACATATCAAATTCCTTGTATATCTCTACATAGTATATTACATGGACATCCTTCAATTTACTGTTTACTATAACATAATTCCACTTAGCTTTCTTCTTCAGGGAAACCTGTTCCACCTAAAATACACAAAAGCAGGGCTATTTTTGAGCAGGAACGCACAGGAACGGAGTTCTGGCTGGCTTCAGAGTTGGCCACACCCACTACAGCTAAAACCTCTGTGTGCCTGGCTACAGAGGGAAGGCCTGGAAAGCAACACCTCCCCCCGCGACTCTGAGGCGGGAAGGCCAGGGGAGGCCCTGGAAGGATTGGGGAGCATTTAAATGCCTCCCCATGCTGTCCCTGGCCTGTCCAAGGGCCGGCTTGCCTGGGTGCCCCGTAGCCGCAGGGCGCCCTGGCAAGCCAAGGGAAGGCATGGGGTGTGGCCTAATATGCTAATGAACCATGCTGTCAGGGGTGTGGCCTAATATGCTAATGGTTTTCTGCTGTTGGGTGTGGCCTATTATGCTAATGAGTTCCTGCTGGGCTTTTTCTACAAAAAAAGCCCTGCACAAAAGAAATCCAAATAGAGATGCCTCTCATTCCCGGGGCTGAGAAACTCAGTGGGAAGAAAGCCTTCCCTCCTCCTATGAGAGGACTTGGGGGGTTACGGTCAGTGTTCCCTCTAAGCTGAGTTAGTGTGAGCTCACAGTTTTTTAGCCTCCAGCTCACACATTTTTGTCTCAGCTCAGGAAGGATGGCTCCAGAGCAGACTAATTTCTGCAGTGGCCAAATCGCTCGCTCACAACTTTAATGCCAGGGGTTCACAAAGTAGAATTTTTGCTCACAAGACTTCACAGCTTAGAGGGAGCATTGGTTAGGGTTATACAATTGTTATTGTTAGCACCAAAGGAAAATACAAACCCCTTTTAGACTGGAGCCTTCAGCACATCTTTGTTTTTTATACACTCCCTCTGCTACTGTGCCTCTCATGTCATCGAGGTTCATAGTTGAACAACAGTTCTTTAATTCCATTTTTGAAACGTCTAATGCGCTTTTCATAGATAACATTGGAAAGACTCTTGTTCTAGTTTGCTTTCTAATGTGAAGGCACAACCAACATGGGGCAGACGGCTCATTCCCAGTACGAATGCCTCACCTGTAACTCACTTCTTAATGAACAATTGAATAGTAGCATCTGTAAGGATCACGGTGGATGTAAGGCTTGCTTGTGAATATACTCTGTATAAGCTTGCTTTTTAACTCAGTTCCAACATACACGTTTTCCCCATGTACCCCCTTTAAAAGACATATAAGAAGAATGTAAAAAACCCAACAATGCCGGGTTTTACATATCCCCAGAAGAAGAAGAAGTGATTGGATTTATACCCCACCCTTCACTACCCAAAGGTGTCTCAGAGCGGCTTACAAACTCCTTTCCTTTCCCCTCCCCACAACAGACACCCTGTGAGGGAGGTGGGGCTGAGAGAGCTCTGAGAGAAGGTGGAGGAGATTGGATTTATACCCCGCCCTACACTACCCAAAGGTGTCTCAGAGCGGCTTACAAACTTTACTTTCCCTTCCCCTCAATAGACACCCTGTGAGGTAGGTGGGGCTGAGAGAGCTCTGACAGAAACTGCTCTTTTTCAAGGACAGCTCTTATCAGAACTACGGCTTGCCCAAGGCCATCCAGCCAGGTGCAAGCGGAGGAGTGGGGAATCAAACCCGGTTCTCTCAGATTAGAGTCTGCGCATTTAACCACTACACCAAACTGCGTATTATTTGCAGCTCTCGTAGTTCAGATTAGCCAGACCTTGTGAAAGCTCAGAAACTAAGCAGGGCCAGTAGGTCGATGGGAGACCACCAAGGAAGAGTGGGGCTTCTATGCAAAGGGAGGCAGTGGGCAAGCCACCTTTGCTCATCTCTTGCCTTGAAGACCTCATGAGGTGCAACTTCATAGGGTCACTGAAAAGTACTGAGAAACGTGGAGTGATTTCAGCAAAGTACTTTTATTCAGCAGGTTCAGCAGGAACAAGACGAAGACTGCCGGCTCACAGGCCGGTATATATCCCCAGAAAACCCTCCACCAAAACACACCCTGTACTCACTATAGGCTATTTACAGTGGCCGAGAGTCCCATATGCTCTCGGCCGCGGACCTGGCCCTCTGATAGGTGTGGGCTAGGATCCGCTGGTCTATTGTTCTCAGGGGAGCGAAGCTCTGCTGTTCGGCATGACCGCATGGCCCAACGGTCGTGCACGTGGTCATGGCGGAGTACATTACAGTCACCATGAGTTGGTTGTGTCTCAATGGCACACTTTACCTTTTAGAATTCTATATTGAGGAGTGACGCAAAGACATCGAAACTACTTATAAGATTATTTATCAGGCAATAGTAATAGTTTAGCAATCAGGAACGTCACAGATCTGCCTGCATTCCATCTTGAGGAGGCATCTGTCAAGCTCTGACAGAGAAATCAAGGACAAAATGTCCGGAGCGAGTGAGAGCAGGTTTAGGATGAAGCAAAAGGAATGGAGGAGAAATTGGCGGTAACATACGAGGCACTCCAGTTGGTACAGTTTATGACGGACTGCTGCGGGGAACAGCGCAGAGCTTATATGGGTGGTGAGTAGATGATAACCCAAGTATAGGATCTGCGTTGAGTTCCTTCACTCCTTCTGGCAGCTGGAAGGTGAATGCCCTCAGCAGGTTGGTGAAGAAGATGAAGAGCTCAGTCCTCGCCAGCTGCTCTCCCAGGCAGGCACGGGCCCCTGCAAAGGAAACGAGGAAGGCAACATGTGAGGACTCTATTAATATGGATCCTAAAAAATTGGATGGACCTTTTGACCTACTGTGATGACCGGGCAAAAGCCCCACCCCATTCTCAGAAGTCCCACGACCCTATCTCCAGCACACATTTATTGCCCATAAAACCACTGAATGAATTACTGAAGGTTTCCTTGCATATCCAGGGCTCCTTTTGTAGCAGGAACTCCTTTGCTTATTAGGTGACACACCCCTAATGTAGCCCATCCAAGAGCTTACAGAGCTCTTCTTACAGGGGTTACTGTAAGCTCTTGGAGGATTGGCTATATTAGGGGTGTGTTACCTAATATGCAAAGGAGTTCCTGCTACAAAAAGAGCCCTGCGGTACACCCGCTTTTGGAAGCAAAGAGTCTATTTGCAAAGGGGATAGTGATAATATATATTTTAAAAAATCCATACCCCACTAGGCTCTATGCATAATTCCAAATCCTCATCTTTCCCAAGAAGGCATATGACTTGCATTTTTATAGAATGTTTGGTCCGGAAGATGATTGTTGGGACTGTTATTGAGAATCAGTGCAAGCCTTTTTGGGGTTTCAGAGGGGATCCTTGTTGGTTTGTGGTAGAATAACTAGATTGGAGTCGGGTAGCACCTTAGAGACCAACAAGATTTTGGGGTGTAAGCTTTCGATAGTCAAAGCTCCCTTTATCAGATGAGACAAAGGGTGCTTTGACTCTCAAAAACTCAGCCCCCCACCAAAATCTTGTTGGTCCCTAAGGTATGACTAGACTCAAATCTACTGTTTTGGAGAGAAGCAACACAGCTTCCTGCTCTACAACAGCTTCGTACAAAGAAAGGAAGCATGGTCTACTCTCAGACGTTCAGCGACTGCATTGGCAATCCCATTTACTTTGTTTATTCCCCTAAACCTGACACATTGGTAGTAATAAACTACCTGGAAAGGGGGGAAGAATAAGGGTATAGTCACTCTTTTACATTCTTTTTTTTTAAAATCCCCTTGGAGCAGGGTAGCTTTATTATTTTTTTGTTACACCTAAACACTACAGAAAAGAAAAAAAGGGGAGGGAAAAGTTACCCCGGGATAAAGGACAGAAAATAAAAAAACCCACATTATGACTAAAATCCCAAGAGAGAGGGTTGTTAACAGTTAGTATTCTGTTAGTATTCAAAATTAAAAGGTTTTTCGTTTAAGTCAATGCAATCGGAAATTAGTAAGTCCATGTTAATGTCTTCTCCATCTTCTTTTGTGTGCGCAAAGAGTTCTTTCATCTTCATCCCTGCTTGCGAGTTTCAAATCTCCAAAGAGTTACTTTGGTCTTCTAAGCCGCAAATCATATGTCTCTTTGGCCTCGCCACCTGATGCTCCTTGGTCGTCATCCCTGTCTTCTATGGTGACTGCTCTGCCCCCTCCTTCTTGCTGTTCTTCCTCCTTCGATCCGAAAAACCGCTTCAACCATTCTTCTGCTTTAAAAACCGAGTCAATTTTTTCCCTTTTGTCTTTGTATTTGAACACGACACCTTCCGGGAAATTCCAGGAATACGAAATTTGGTTGATCTGCAATGTTGGGATTAGCTCTTTGTAGGCTTTTCTTTTCTCACGAACCTCGAATGGAACATCTTTTAAAACTCTGATAGTTGCAGCTCCCAGCTGCAGGGGATTGGCTGCTGTTGCTTTCAGGATATCATCCCTCGTTTGTCTTCGGAGAAACTTAACGACAATTTCACCCGGCAGGTTATTCCGTTTTATGTATTTGGAGTATGATCGATAGACCATCTCGATTTCAGCTTCCGCTTCTGCCGCTGAACAGCCCATCGCCCGTGCGATAAGCTCTGCCATCATCTTTTTCAAGTTTTCTCCTTGCGCTTCAGCTATCCCCTGGAATCTGAGTGTTTTGTTTGTTTTTTCTATCTGCAGGTTTAATAATCTGTGTTCCTGTAAATCCTGTCTCTGTTCTAGCAGACCAACTTTCTTTTTAACTTTTTTGGTGTTGTGTACTGTCTCTTTAAGCTTTTCATCTGTTTGGATCGACTTTTTGACCAGCTCGGCAATCTGCT